ACCAGACTACACAGCGCAACAACCCAGAAGACGGAAATCTTCATACTCTGATGATGGAGGCAGTATGACCTCTGAAACGTTGGTTAATATCAACCAGACTACACGGCGCAACAACCCAGAAGACAGCAATCTTTAAAATATATTTGTCATGAACTTCTGTGGTTTCTGTCTCAAGAATTTTCTTTTCCAATGCTTATCAAGATCAATTATTTTTTAGGCATTTCGGTAGAACGGTATCTCCTATTTGCTGACGTACAAAGTGTCACCATTTGATTCTATTCTAATGAGTGCTTGTGTTATGATGTGTTACTAAAATGTCATTGTGAGCACTGCTTATACGAGGAAACTGACGCGCACACAACACAAGGACCCTTCGTATTTCACATTAACATAACCTTAAAACACTACAAGTCTTCCATTTAATGAACATTGTACATTAAAATAACAAGCTCGCTGGTGGAGCCTTTAATGTCATTCATTGTGTATCACCTCGCTGTGTTTTGTTGCAGTGAATGAGCTTGTCAGATTCTGTAGCTCCTATGAACATAGTAGCCAAATTTTCAACAGTACGGACAATGAGGTAGCAGTGCTGTTCCACTCAGATGATCGCTCTAACAGCTATGAAGTGAATCGAGGATTTTCCCTGAGGTTCAACACCAGTCAGAATGGTTGGTCCAACATTTTTTCTGTTTATTAGTTTTCCATCTGCGTGGGTTATGTAGCATTGAAACATGTTCAAACACTTTAGCCAGTCTGCAAGTTACATTTTGTATCTTTTTCTGTAGTGTAGTTTTAATTTTTCTTAGTTTGACACAAAGTAAATTTGTATGTTCTATACATTTTATCCAGCAGGTTAACTTGACAGTCGTGTATGTGACTTGTATCTATGAGTTAAATCGTTCAAATCCCATCTGGGGAACTGACAATCGTAATAGCCTTTCGTATTTTCCTCAAGTCTTTTATAGGAAAATGCCACAATATTGGTTTCAGATAAATTACAAGTAATTCCTCATCAATTCTTAATATGTTTTACATTAATAATCATCAGATTTAATTTGGAATTTACTTTTGTGCTTTATATAGCAAATTGTTCATTTTTAAAATAAGACACGGACATTAGAACTTAAGTTTAAGGTTTACATGCGTCATGTTTGTGTTTTTGATTAAAATATATAATAAAATTCAGGTCAATACACAAAACAATACTTTATTTAGATGTTAAAATTTAAAATTTAAATGTTAAAATTTTAACATTTAAATTTTAAATAATTTTAACATTTAAATTTTAAATTTTAACATCTAAATAAAGTATTGTTTTGTGTATTGACCTGAATTTTATTATATATTTTAATTAGAACTTAACCTATGTTACATGTTGCTCACAAATTTTGCATAGAGTAAACACAGATATTAAATTAGTATCGTACATATTACGTCATGAATACAGTGTTTATGCTTTTGCAGTGTGTGGAGGTTTATTGGAGGGTCCCAGTGGGGTATTTGAGAGTCCAGGGTACCCCTCAACTCGGGGTTACCGGCGCATCTGTAGGTGGGAAATAGTCGTACCCATCGGGCGCAGAGTCAGCGTGGAGCTGCTGGACTTTGATCTGGATTCCTCAGTGGAGGCACACAAACATCGAATTATTGTGAGTTGCAATTATTTTGTCTTTATTTGGAGAATTCTATTCTTTTGTCATTGTCTTCGAATGTGGATGAATTTTTTTTTATAAAGTTCGGTTGATAGTTTCCTTTGTTATTTCTCAGTTGTGTTTGAAAGGTAACTATATATTACGCCCACGATGAAAACCAGAAGGCATTGACGACTGTCCAAAGGAGTTGTTATCTTTAAAGATAATGCCATCCACATTCTACACAGCAGTAATCAATGTTCTTAATTAAGTGGGGTGTCAGAGTTGCTCCCTCATCCTCGTAACAGTGCAGATTTGCTCTCAGATTTTCAGATTTTAAAGTATGACCTGAAATTAAGAGGCCTCTCCCACTTACAGATGTCAGCCGTTGGTTGTTAAATAATCCTGTGTAAAAATACTTATAAAAAGAAAAGCAATTGAACCTTTTGGCAAGAAAATGTATGGAGGTTATACAATCATCCTAGAATTTACTGACATTGTGGTTATGGATCAGAACCCCAATATGACGCTCGCACGTTATGTGATGTGTGTTGTGTCTTAAAGTACACAGCAGGACAACTAGGGATACTGCTACCATGTCTTAAAAGACACGGTGGGCCTCTAAAGGTTAAGAAGCGGCTAATGATTCATCGCCAGTGAATAGGTCATGGGAGCGGTGCGATCTTGTTTGCATAGTCGGCCAATAGATTTCTTTTTCTGTTGGAATCGGCAAGTAACCAGATTGGTGGACCAGATATATTGCAAAGCAAGGATAAAAAATGTGAACATGATTTTAGTCGTGTACAAAACCTGCAGATGTGTGAAAAAATAATAGTCCAGATCAGATTTGAAACCCTCTCATAGCATGCGTCAATATTTATAGCATGAGTAGCCATGTCTGATTTGAGAGATGAATAGTTTTGCGTACTTATGATTGTGGTATATTTATTTTAATAATGCGGCTACCGCCATTGACCGCGTGATCGTAACAGTTAATTTTAGAAACTCATCAGTTTTTTAAATGTTTAATTTTCTGTGTAATTACAAATTGATGACATAATAAAAATTAGTTAAGCTGACCAATTCCAAATGCTGTTGGTTTACCTCTCTTTCCAGTGTTTTTGAGGTTAATTTAGATTTTATAATTAGTTCTAAGAATGTAAGTTGCCTAACTCACATTCTTGTGATTATCTCATATTGTTTACCAGCATCCATGATACTTCTTACTGACATACTTTGTCATCACCTTTTATGTTTATCAAATCTAAAACTTCTTGACGATGGTGAAGAGTCAATTGAATAAAAATTTTCTTGGATATTATCCATCGTCTAGTAAATATAAAACGTTTTATGGATAATATCCAAGAAAATTTTTATTCAATTGACTCTTTATGTTATATTATACTTGGTGTTCAGTCCGTAATCAACTAGGAATAGAAGCAAAGTGGGGCTCTGTCCAATAGAACATTGTCTTCAGTGACATTTTCAACCTCAACAACTTTAATTATTATGACATTAATTAATAGAAACCAAAACGTACACTTATTATTAAACATAATTAAAATTGTTAAAATAGAAATAATAATAATAGTAATGTTTATAAAAATATATATTACTTATACTTCACACATTTCTCAATAAATATTGTAAAATACCTGCTCAATATGGGAAAACATGCCACTTGTCAGAACGTCTCGCATTCTTTCCGTTGACCAGTGCTGCTGCCACCGTGAGTTTTATTAGCGTAGTATTCCAGGCGATAGCCACGTCAAATAGAATGTCACAAAGGCAATGAGTAAACAGTGAGTTAACTGCTACACATTTATTTGTTTCCAGTTTCTCGTTTGTTTGTATGTCTGTTACTTTTGAAATGTATTTATATATGTCCCTGATATTTGACTAGGAGACTCATGTTTCTGCAGCTAATAGTAAAATTACTTGTAAATGTGTATGCCAACAACAGGGATGGGTGTTTACTTCAGTCATCTGAACATTGTGGGTTAAGGAGAATAGTATGGTTCTATTTTTCTTTAATTTTTGTCGGGGGAGGGAGGCATGACTGTCTGCGCGATAGCTTCTAACTTAGCTTAATTGCAGAAACATTTTATATAGTTAGCTTTTAACAATTCTGTAGTTTGTGTGAGTGTGTAGTAGCAGTTAATGGAATGTTGGTGCACCTGTTACAGTTCTTCGATGGTCTGAAATATTCCCTCTATCTCAAGACATTTTATGCATCCAGTGTACCAGAGATTGTGAGATCCACAAGCAACCGTATGCTCATCATTTTTGTGTCATTTTACAATGTGGGACACCGTGGTTTCAGAGCACGATACACGTCAGACGAACTCTCACGTAAGTTTTTATTTCCCAAATCAGAACACAGTGCTGTTTGTTGGCTTATTGTTAGTCAAGAAACATATCAATCACCTTTAGACATTATTTATGCTTTGTCGTAATGCAGTAGTTCATTTTGACACTTAGAAATACAGTAAAAACTCAATGTAATGAGTAATGGTTTATTATGACAAGTCTATTGTTATGCACAGTCCGTGTAATAATGCTAAATATAGGAATATATTTTCAACAAGAGCACTGTTTTATTGTCTGTTATAATGTACAATTTTGTAAGACTTGAGGTTCTCACAGCGGTGAGTATGAAGATTTCCGTCTTCTGGGTTGTTGCCCTGATGATGGAGGCAGTATGACCTCCGAAACGTTGGTTAACATCGACCAGACTACACAGCGCAACAACGCAGAAGACAGAAATCTTCATACTCTGATGACGGAGGCAGTATGCCCTTCGAAACGTTGGTTAACATCGACCAGACTACACAGCGCAACAACGCAGAAGACAGAAATCTTCATACTCTGATGACGGAGGCAGTATGCCCTTCGAAACGTTGGTTAACATCGACCAGACTACACAGCGCAACAACGCAGAAGACAGAAATCTTCATACTCTGATGACGGAGGCAGTATGCCCTTCGAAACGTTGGTTAACATCGACCAGACTACACAGCGCAACAACGCAGAAGACAGAAATCTTCATACTCTGATGACGGAGGCAGTATGCCCTTCGAAACGTTGGTTAACATCGACCAGACTACACAGCGCAACAACGCAGAAGACAGAAATCTTCATACTCTGATGACGGAGGCAGTATGCCCTTCGAAACGTTGGTTAACATCGACCAGACTACACAGCGCAACAACGCAGAAGACAGAAATCTTCATACTCTGATGACGGAGGCAGTATGCCCTTCGAAACGTTGGTTAACATCGACCAGACTACACAGCGCAACAACGCAGAAGACAGAAATCTTCATACTCTGATGACGGAGGCAGTATGCCCTTCGAAACGTTGGTTAACATCGACCAGACTACACAGCGCAACAACCCAGAAGACGGAAATCTTAATGTATAATTTTGATTGCATTTCCACAGCCGTGTAAACATGTATCTGCCAATGTTGTATCATCTCTATTTTATTACTGTTTTGCGAAACATGTTTGACCATTTTCCATAATCATGTAAAAGTATGTCTCGCATGTAACTTAGTCGTTACTGCTGTTCTGAGTCAGCAATGTCCCACACCCAACACAGTAGTTTTGCCAGTGGTAACTGTTGGATGGGAAGTGTCCAGTTGTTCGATATTTGCATATTCCATTTAATTTTGTTCTTGCTGATATGACTGATAAATACAAAGGGAAGTGAATCTGAATGTTTACTCACTAGCCATGGGTATGAATATAACATGATTTAAAAGAATACCAGAATATAACTAGAAACACTGAAGATTAATTTAATTCAATTTCTGATGTGTTTTAGCCCAGTAGCATGACAACTTATCTACCGATTGACTTCTTTTACACAAATTGCAACTCAGATTGTTAATTGATGGCTGACGTTAACTTAAAATGATGGTTGCCTTTACATTTATATAGGTTTCATTCAAACACATTTTAATGTGAGTAGTCTTATTAGTATACCGCCACGGTGGTCTAGCGGTCAGAACGCCGGGCCTGTAATCCTGGGGTCCCGGTATCACGGAGTTTTCCTCCGGGGCTTACCCGGTTTCTCCGTGGCATCCCAACAAGTACCCCATTTCCATCATCATTCACACACAGAAGGATGCAACGGCAAACCACTTCTGGATCATTTGCCGAGGAAACATATGAACAGGTTCCTATCAGAGGGAACTTGTTCATAATGTTACCAGGGGTCGGCTCCGACCCGATGGTACTTAAAAAAAGTCTTATGAGTACACCAGATTCATCTTGCCTAACTTAATCACATTTGAGATTTTTTGGGTTTTGGCAAGAGATATCGGGTGAAACTCATAATGCTTTTCATATTCACTAAACAGAAATTACATTCACTCTGATGTATAAAGTGAAGCTTAAGCGGCAACTGAAGTCGATGAAAGATTCCCGGATTACAAGCCGCCCTTCAGCGAGCACGCAACAAAGGATCAGATTTGTTACCCAACAGCCCTGAGGATCAGAGATTGTTCTCCAAATGTTGGTAGAAGATATGGTTTAATCACCATTCAGCCACCTGACGAGGCTTGTAACCCGGGAATCTTTCATCAACTACATTCACTCTGTCAATATTGCCTGATCAGGCCCTGAAGGTAGAGGCAGTTTTGTTCCTCGGAAATGTTGGTACGTACTTACGAGTTTACATGGCCAACACTGACATCTTTACCGCTGTGGAAACCTCGTATGTTATATATTTACTTTGTTCATAGTTGTAACTGTTTTAAGTTTTGTATGAGTGTAAAAGTATAGACACAATGTGTCTGCAACCAAACTCTCACCTCACGCTTTGCTATTATCTGGACATGTTAAGATTATTTTTTAAACAATTAATATCAATTGTTACTATTCCAGCATGTATTGGTGACCTTAGTGGAGACAGTGGTTATGTCTATCCTCCTGCCAGATCCTTGAATCTGACTTCCTTTCATTGTGAATGGGAGAGAAGTGTTCAAACGGATGTGCGTAAGACCATTGCCTTCACGCTGCTTAATGGTACAATTAGCTCTACAGAACATCAGACCTGCTACCATCATTGGAACAGCGTCTGGTTTGCCACAGGTGAGTTGAGAATGTCGTCTGTTTAGTCGTGGCTTGTTATGGCAGGAGGAAGGATCGTTGGATATGTTAAGTGCCAGTTGAGGTCACTTGTAGGTGCGAAACCTGAAGACAAGAGACCACTTGCGAGAATTATATTTTTATGGACTAAAATGAATCTTAGATAAATAAGGGCTAAGGATATGGATTGGAATTATCTGCCTTAGGGCGGGGATCAGTCATGGGTTCTTTTAAATTCTGTAATTAGCCTTTGGGTTCTATGAAAGGTAGGGAAATGTCTTGTCTAGTTGAGTGACTGTCAGTTTCTCAAGATGGCCTCTGGTCCATGGAGGCTATTAATTTATGTTACAATGTTGTCTTATGACTGATAAAGTTTAAACAGACCAGACAAACCCTTTAAAGCCCAGTGGTAACTATACGTGCCATCTGGTGTAACAGTCAACAACTCTGCATTTTGTATTTATTTGTTTCATACAATTCTCACTCTAAATAGGGATTAATTCCTCGAAGAGAATTAACAAGTAGATTTGTGTTCTAAAGAAGAAATGCATTTTTTGTGTGGACTGAATTAGAAATTCTGAGAAGTCTGAGGCATCGTGCTTCAGACCGGTGATACGGAATGCGCGCTGGTTCGAGTCTCAGGGGAGAAATTTTCTCATGAGCTTTCGACCAGTGTATGGGACCGGTGCCATCCCAGCATCGTGAGGAAATTGGGGAGCTACAATGAGTAGCGTAATCCGGTCATTAAAACTAGCAATGGCTGGGGGTTCGTCGTGCTGACCACACGTCATCCTGTATCTGGTTGGATGATGATCGTTCACCTCTGCTTAGGCATGTGAACGTGAGGCCAGCAGTCGAGCTAGTCTGTTTTGGCTCTCTGGAGCTGTTACGCCACGGATTTAATTTTATTTCATTTAGTTATTTTTTAATTAGAAATTGTCTAGATGAGCTTCGGCTTCAGAGGATTAAACCAGTTCTCCTGTAAAATGTTGGTGTGATCAGAATCGTAAGAAGAATAATCAGTAGCACTTTCTCACTCACTTTAACCAACATTTTATATGCCAGTGTTAAACTACGGTTGGAATCTGGACCACTGTTCACAATTTGTGCTCTGTTATTAGTGTATTCAAGTTTGTAACAAGAAAGTTGCAGCTTCTGGAATAAGGGTTATGGTTTCTGATTTTCTGCAGGAAGTGGCATGCTTCTGGGACAGTTCTGTGGTAACTACACAAAACCTTCAAGGATACTCAGCCCCTTCATGAATGTGGTCATGAAGGTGAGTAAGACAAGATTCAGATCAAATCTTGGATAGTTACATTTGGCATATTTTGACATTTGTCACGAGCATGACAGTGCAATTACCACATTTACCTGAATCCAAACTAATTCTCTTGTAGCAGAACCAAAAGGCTAAAAAAAATACCTATTTCCAATATTGTCCATGATCTTGAGACAGTTTTATTTACTCCCTCCCTACAACCTGTTCTCTTAAAGCTCGTCTTAATATTATTATACCATCTCCTTCTTGATCTTCAAGTTGGTCGTTTTCCAACTTTCTTTCCAGCCAAAATTTGTATGCATCCCTACTGTTCTAACTTCCAGCTGTATGTCCAGTCAATCATATTTATTTTCTTGTATTTTTTGTCCCAACAATTTGACATGGCCTATTTAGAGTGTGTGTGACCTGCTTCAGTGACAATTGCCGATGATTAAATGCTGTGTATGGTTTAAGTAATAAAAAAAAAATACTTAGCGTAGCTCAGTCGGTATAGTGACTGGCTACAGACTGGGCGACCGGGGTTCGATCCGCGACGGGGGCACAGGATATTTCCTCTAGCCTCTGCGTCCAGACCGGCTCTGGGGCCCACCCAGCCTCCTCTACAATGGGTATCGGGGTCCTTTCCCAGGGGTAAAGCCGGCTGACCACTCACCCCCATCTAGTGTCGAGGTCAAGGAAGAGAGGAGCTATACCTTCACTCCCCCCTAGCGTCTACATGGCGTATAGTGGGACAGCTTTACTTTTTTTTTATGTTTTAAGTAATATATTTTATTGTAACATTACTATGCATTTTGCTGTGGCAGCACTTTTAAAGATTTTTTTCAAACAAATGGCTTCCTCCATTTTCAAGACAGTTTTGAATTTATGTTGCCAAATTTTGCATCAAAGTGGTGCAGTAAGTCTTGTGGTATAACTTAAATTTCATCACAGATAAGTTTTTTTCAACTCTGAAGTGTTGGGCGTGTCCTACATAACACCTTTCTTTTCAAATAACCCTAAAGACTAGTCAGAAATAGGAGATTAAAAGTTTGTAATGACGTCTCAAAGTTTTGAGGTTGTGTATCCATAAATGCAGGGACAACAGTCTGGCGTTAATCTCTGAACATCAGTTTCTGCTTGCTGTCTAAAATTTTTGTGTTCTTTAGGTACATCTTAATATGCATTGAATCCCGTCAATAAATATAATCAGAATTAATTTTCAGAATTTTTATATATTCAATCAAAATTTCACTTCCATATAAATTTTTATTATGTACATTTAAGGACTTTCTTTGGATGTGATGTTTTGAAAGGTCTGAATTTTACTAAAGATTAATTGCTGTTTTAATTCAGTAATAGAATGAGGACACTGATTAAATGACGTGATTCAGATGACTTCAATCAGGAACAAAGGTGCATCTTTTATTATAGTTACAATTATAGTTATTTGTTATCTGCGGAAGTGCATATAAAAGTCGCCGTTGGAATCATTCTTGAGTACCAGTGTGTGTGCTCTTAAGACAACACAGCGTAGGTGAACTCTATTCGTATGTACAGATAACATCATCAGTAACAAGGAAATAATTTTTTGTGATTATTTTTCAGTCAAATCTTAACAAATTATATATGATTCTAACAACAAATCTGAAACCATCATTCTTCAGAACTGTTGAGTCTGATTTTAGTATGACTTAAACAAGATTTTATAAAAAAAAATGTGTATCGTAGTGATTGTAATACAAGGCTCGTCCATAAAGTAAGTTTCCCTGGGGCCGTTTACAGAAACAAAACACAATTTCATGGAAATATTTATTGCAACAGATACAGCAAGTGTCCAGCTATTTTTCAACATATTCGCCACCGGAATCGAGACATTTGTCATACCGTGGGACCAACTTTGGAATCCCTGT